AGACCAATCTATTTTAATATTAATCTAAATAATCTTCATAAACCATCTCTATGGCCTTATATATGAAATATATAGTTAGAACTTAAGCACAAGATAAATTTTACTATTGTGACAAGCTAAAACAACGTCTCATCTAGTGTTAGTGTTCTATGTCAGCATGAAGAAATTGTTTTATTCACCTGTGACTTTTAAATAGTGCCTTACTATAACACAATAGTGAAGAGAATTACGCAGTCCCCACAAATAATTAGTACAGTGAACATGTTAGATGAAAAACTTGGGTGTGTGTGTGTGTGTGTGAAATGTGCTTTGGAACTTCATTTTGTAAGTACCACTTTGAAAACACACCTTATTTTCCAAAATGATTAAAGCAATCCAACTAAAGCTAAAATTGGTCAGCAACATCTAGCAATGTTAGCAATCTATATGAAAATTGATACATATATTTTAGGATTCTGCCAAATTAAGTTTTGGACTGCCTGTTTATGCACCTAATTCTGATAAGCAACTCATAGTGTTTAACTAATACAGTTGATAAATTAAAGAGCTCCTATAGAATCCAGAAGATATCAATTTTTCATTTCAATAGCTCTTTAGAAGATTTAGATAACCTTTTTCACCCCATGGTTCTGTCATTCAAACTGGAAATACCAATGTATCAGGTGTACCTTCAATTAATAACTGAACAGGATATACTTATATTAATATGATAAAAGAACTCTTAAACCAACATTTGAGATGGGTATGAAATACTCAAGAGATTGTATCATTCATTTAGGCTCATTTATAAAAACCGCAGTTACAGAAGCAGCAGTTACAGTGGCCAGTTTTTCAGAAAGCCGCCTGTTGCATTTAGTGAAGTATCAGCTGTGGCAAAACAACATTGCAACTTCAGGCATGAGAAGCACTACTGACAGTTAACTATATTTTACAATTCAGTCTCATTTTTTATTTAATGTCAGTATACAGAGGACAACCCCGGTAAGTTGTAACGTCAAGTATTTAGTAGGGTTCTTCAGCTGAAACAGTGACATAAAATGCTAAAAAATAAGCAGTATGAAACAAACATGATTTTTAAAAATTATAAATATATGAACAATACTTATTAAAGCTTCATTATTATTGCAACAGTCAATTTAGTTTAACAATTTATGTTAGAAAGGCTCTTATGAAATTTATTTAAATTGCCAAGAAATCAGATGGACGTTTATAAAGAAAATACATATGAATTTACTGTTGATTTTCACTATATCATTACAATTTTGTACAGTATAACCTAACGTGTCAGTCTTAACAAATTCATGTATACAGATTTCATAAATGCAGGGAAAAATCTTGCTTTTAAACTTTATACAAGTTATGTGACAATAAATTAGCTGGTTTTCTTTCTTTCAACATAATGCAGGCCAGCAGTTATTCTTTAGTAGCTTTAAAGTGATGGAAGGGAAACATACATGGTCTGTTCAAGTACATTACTTAGTTTCAAAAAAATCAAGCATTTCTGAAATGTTTTAGCATGACTCTTTTCTTTCTAATTTGGATAACCACATGGAGGCAATTACTCTTTTTTGGCTTCACAGAAGGAACTGGCTAATTTTTGACTGGGTATCATTAACTCATATTAATTCATCCCAATAATTTTGTATAAGAACTTTTCAAGGAATCCCCAGATCCTGTTTAAATCATTAAATCTAGCATTACGCCAATCACAGCTAGCACATTCTACAGCATTTTATATTTCCATTCAATAAAACAATTTTGCCAATGAAATTTCAAATGCAATTTGTCACACTCCAATATAGCATCACAAAATATCTGTACAATATTTTAGCACAGAACTAAGTTAAATAACGATGCTGTATTACAGTTGCTGATTATATTGGAAAATGTTCTACAATTTAGATCTAATTTTTTTTCTTGTACAACATGGTTCAAATAAACATAAATTTAATTGGATTTCATTATACAAATTGGTAAAACATTTACTCTGCCAGGGTATATGCTGCCAGTTCATTCAATTCAACCTTTATTGTTAGTCAAATCATACTAAGAATATGCAAAGATAATTAGCTGCAAGTTTCCTGAAAATTACAAGTGGTTAATAATAATCACGTTGGATAAAATCTGTCAATGAAGGCAATACCTGATAGAAATCTAGGTGTGACTAGCATCACAAAAGAAATCCAAGAACTTTCTTGCTGTCTCTACCAGACAAGCAAGGAATTGGTCAAAAGATTCATGAGCAACTTAACTTTCTTAGTGATGCAATACATTTTTTTTTTACAAAGCATTACTGAGAAACTTTCATGCCAGTAGAATAGGCAGCTTTCCCATAAATCAGCACAGTTCTAAAATGTTGCTTTTATGTGCAACATGACTTTACTGTGTGCTTTTATTCAACACAGTATGTTACATTTTAACATGTGTCTAAACTGTATTTTGAAAAAGAAAGGACTCGAGGAAGCTCAAAACATGTGAATGCAGAGTAAGAAAATCTAAGGCTGTAGTGTAAATCTTACTCCAATCTATCAGTGTTTCTTTCTAATTTATGGGTTCCTGATACTGAAATCAGAATTAGATACTTCAGCCAAGGCAGAGAGCAGCCAGACCAAAAGAGTTTATTCTCATGAATAAATATACTAATCTGTTCTTCTGTTATCCTTGCTGCACCAGTCTGGCAAAGCGGGGGGAAGCGGGGACAGAAAAGGCTGGCTCAGTAGCAATGAAAATTCAAACTGCAAAATTGGTTGAGTCTTTTTCCTCAACCTGGAAGTTTGTGACCCTTTTATCCAACTGAAATCTTCTGACAAAGGCAGAAAATAATTTTAGCAGCAGAAAATGGATGAGTGGAAACTATATGCTAGAATCACAAACAGTGCAGGAATACAGCAGCTTTAAAGGCTTTAAAATGAAGCTAAAGGGACCTAGGATAAGATAAATGTAGGCAGTGTTTAAACCGGGAGGGAGGGGGAAGAAATATGTTTACCATTGTTTTGAAGATTAATTAAATAGGCATAGAGTTTAATTAAGTGCTCTCCTATAAAACAAAAAGCAAGGTTTCTGTTACAATGACCACCCTGGCCAGAACCCTGTAAACATATCACCTAATTTGCTAGTTTAGGCCAGCTAAGTAAGCTCACCAACTGCAAAATAAAGAATAACAACAGCAATAAGAAACCCATCCTAAGTAAACGCATCCTAAATAAAATGGCATTTACAACAGTGTGCAATATTAGTTTTCAGAGACCTCATGAATATTATCAGCATGAAACTTACCTTAAAGATTTCTGCATTTGCCAAATATAGAAATCCTAGCTTTTGATACTGCATACTCTTATCTCTGAAATATTTGAAATGTCTTCCAAATTAAACTGTTGCTATATGCAAGTTATACTAATTAGTTCACTTCAGCTCCTTTAAGAATCTCAACCTAATAAAAATGGAAGCAATCTAACAGCCAGTGTTAAATTACTTTGGAATTTCTGGTACATTAAACAGAGGGGCAATAATTTCCCATTTCATCAATACACACCTGAAAAATCACTATTAGCTTTCTTTGGCCCCTGCATAGACTAAGATGGAAATTATCTTAACGGAAATGAATAAAGTGTAAGGTTTTATCCTCATAATTTGCTTCTCTCATCCACATGAAAATGTCACATTTTTAGATTGTCTATCCAAGATAAGGCATACAGGAAAGACCACATATAAGAACATGTTTGTTAAGAATTTAACGAATAAAATTTTATTACACATTACAGAGCAATAATGAAACTCTAAGTCCCAATAGGCTTTGATTTCTATTGGAAGAACTCTACTTGCAATAATTTTCTGAAGTTTGTTCACTCCAGGAATTGACAACTGTCAAGTACTTCATGGCTTATTCTCTGGAAGATGTTTTAAAAGCGCCCCATGCTACATCTCTAAAAAAAGTCAACCATCAGCCATTTCAGATATCATTTTCTCTAGCTTGCCCAATAACAAATGAGATTGTGCTAGTTTTGATTCTAGCTCCAGCTCTATTGTGTTGGACTATATAACAAAAGATTTCCCCAAAGCCTTATACATGGCTACATAAGGAATCATAGTTTGTGGAGGCTGAGCCCAGGATGGCCAAGTGAGTGCACAGAAATCACCTCAAGTTTTTTTAAAAAAATCTTAGCTACAGCCTTCAAATTGCCAATAAACATTGAAGTCAACCTTTATCAGCATAAAGTGCTAAAAATTTAAATATCTAATTTTGTTAAATATGAAATAAAACATTACCACTGCCAGATTTAAGCCTATAGATTTAATGAACAATGCATGAGTTAAAAATAGTTAACATGAAAATAATTTGAAGTGACAAGGAAAATTATGGGATGGGGATACATTCTGCTAAGGGACTTTTGTGATCTTAAACACAAAAATACTTGAAGAAGTTAATATTAAAAGTCAAGAATATTACAATGCATATTTAATATCAATTTATTCAAAATTTAAATGGAGACACTATAAATTATCCTGATTTCTGTAGAATTAAAAACCCATCTATGAATAGCTTTCAAAAAAGGTGAGAACGTATTCTGTTTATTGACTCCTATTAGTGAACTATTTGAAATTCAGCTGTCTAAAATATCACACTAGATCAAATTATAGTCTAGGAAAGCTATATTCCTGAATGCCCTTGCAACTTTACTCTCAGTAATTTAGATTTGTTTCAATTATGTTTATATAAAAATAGTTTTGAAAATATAAGAAACCTATCACTGACACTTTGGATACACAACACATCTCTGGCTGGAAGGCAACTGTATTTCAAAAGGACTTCACCTAGGCCAGACACTTCAAATTGTTCAGAAATACGGCATGCAGTATCCAAAAGTATGGCTCTGAGGAAATAATTTTTACATTAAGCGTAAAGATTGTTTATATTCAACATTCACTTATGTTTTGAGAAAAAAAAAAACTACCTATTCAAGTTCTATTTCTTTGATGCAGCATTAAGGATTAAAACTTACCACTTTACCAGGCCTTGCCCATGTGCAAATAAATCCCTCCTGACAAGCAGTGACTATACAGTCTTCAAGAAAAATTAACACAGTCAGTCTTTCATGTGCTATCTTTTTACAGATAAGAGGCTCTAACAAAGGAACATCTTCCATTCTGGGGCACAGAGGCGTTCCCAAAGTTTTTGCTGGGTCTGTTTTGGTTTTAGTAACTAGATTCAGTTTGTCACTGCTCTTACTAGATATATGTCCCATACTATGATTTCGCTTATGATCTTTTTCATGGTGTTTTTCCTTTCGGTCATGTAACGATAAGGTTGCAAACTTACTAACACCAGAGGCAATGGCACCATCCATGACACTGCTTTTGCTGCCAGAATTGGAAACTGCAGAATGTGGAAGGCTGTTGGAACGTGGAAGAGGAGGTGGTACAGAGTTTCCAGGTGTTGTGATGCTATTTCCATTACTTCCTGGGTTAGCTCCACCACTTCCTGTGGGGGGACTTGTGGCAGTCATGACATTTGTATGTGTCCTTGCTCTTGAGAGGGGCTGGTGTGGGAAGAGGATGTCTTCTGTTAGGTCCCATAAACATAGCTGTGTGTCCTGACCTACTGAGCCAAACCTATACGTTACACTTACTGGGCGACTCTCTGTAGAGTTCCTTTTTGATAATCTTGACTGCGTGCTATTTGCTCGATCTCGTCCAAAATGGAGGAGGTCTTGGAAGTCCTCGTCGCTGCCGCTGAATTCCATTGGATCATTTTCTTCTACACTGGTTGTATATGGATCAAAGGCCACAACACTGACCCATGATTTGTGCCCATGGCCTCTAGCTATCACTCGACAGTCCACAAAAGACCAGACAGTCACCAAATCATCCTCTCCACCTGTTACAATGTATTTTCCATCTGGGCTCCAACATGCACACAGCAGTCCTCCAAAGTAGCTTTTCATTGTACCATGCAACTCAACTGAATCAAAGTTAAATACACGAAGAAAGCCATCCTGACTTACACATGCCAAGAATTTTCCATCTGGAGAAAAACCAAATTCATTTAGGGCACCTTCACCTACTGTCCATTTAAGTAAAGGGTTTCGTGTAGATTTACTTTTGCATGTATGAACTGCAAAACTTTCCCCTTGTTTAAGTAGCTGATAGTGTGGAGCTGTGGTACCACAGTTGTGTTCCACGTTATATAAGTACATATTGCCACTGGAATGAGCTACTAGGAAAAGACTTTCTGAACCAGGCACCCATTTTACACAAGTTACTCTGGACTTGTCTATTAGTCTCTGAAAAGAAAAAAGAAAAAATATAGTTATCACAGTTCTGTATCATTCATGTAATATTAATTCTTTGTCAAAAATACATATTTCTTCTTGAAGACAACTAACTCATTATGATTTTGAATTATATTAAAAAGAATATCTTTCTTATAAATATGAACAACCTGCCAGATTTGTCATTAACATTTTAGTATAAAATCAGGCTCAGAATAATTAAACATATTCCAATGAAAAAATACTAATCTACTAAATTCTGACTTAGATGTAGAGGTTTTTTGATCTGAAATGAAATTTTAGACACTGAAAGCCTCTCTCCCCTCCTCTCCCCCTCCCTGCCTTCCTTGATTTGAACCTATGTACTAAATTTTCCAATATTTTTTAACTATTACAGTATTCGATTCATTATTCATTTCAAGCCATATAAGCCAATTTTTAAAGGCAGCTAAAAATAACAAAATTGCTTCTTTCTCCAAAACAGTATCATACGGTTTTAACTGGGACATAAATTTCACAGGTGTGTTCTGGAGCTCTTAACAAAGAGGTGTCTTAGTGGACAACCATCAGGATGTCTGTGTCTATTTATAAAAACTAAATAAGTTTATACCTGTCCTGTGAAAGCAACAAAGCCTTATTTCATGGGGGGAAACCGCCCCCCCCAAAAAAATTCACTGAAGCAATGCTCTGAAGTTGTACAAAATTACAATATTACCAACACTTGAGCTTTAAGATCTCTTTATCAAGTAGGATGACTGAAGAATAAAGTGAATAATTAATTAAAATTAAAAATAAAGAATTGGAAAACATATCCTTGTGCCATTTTCTCACCATAGTTAGGATAGAAAATTTTAATTATAATAAAAAATATGTAACTCATTACACCTAACAATGTAAATTAATATTCCAAAATCATCCACCCACCATTTTAATTTAAACCAACTTCCCTTATGAAAAGGTTTTGAAATTAAAAATCCTGAAATGATTTCATACAATTTAAACTGGCCCCAATAAAAATACTGCCTCAATGCATTTAGAATTATTCAAGTTACGATATACTTGGATTAATTTATATAGCTGTTGTAATATTTAGAGAAGCATGAAATAGAATAATTCCATCTCGGCATTTTTTTTCTTCCATTTTTTTAAAAATTTAGAATAGACAGCATGAGAGTGTTATGTTTTATTGTACAACTGGAACTAAATAGGCTATATTTATAAATGAGTAAATAGGTGGCAAAATGCTAGTTTCTCCTCGTCAGGAGCTACAATTTTTGGTACTGATTGTGAGTTAAAGGAAAAGCTGTAATGAAACCTTTGGGAAGGACAGTCTTGAATTATAGTCTAGCAGATAAACTGATACAATCTGCAAGAGTCCCTACCGCAAATTATGAATAAAAGATAAAATCAGTGAATAGATAATAGTGATAGAGGGGAGAAGAGGGTGTTTAAACAAAATTGTATGGGGTTTTGTGCTATGAAAGCTGGCATAATTTGCAATTTCTCGGAAAACGTAAATTGATTTTCATCGTTTCAATTTCTATGGTACTTTTTTTATAGAATGAAAAGATTGTTTTAGTTGTTCACAATTTTGAGAAAAAGTAGCATTTTAGATTCTAATCCCACTGAAAGATTATTTCCTACCTGAAGTCTCTAAAAAGCTCCTCAAGGAACCAAATCAAAAAGAAACCAAAATCTTTCCTCTATCCTTTCCTCTCACAAAATTATGCGAGATGAATTTCCCTTTTCTTCTCCTCTCACTGCAAGCTTTTGCCCACCAGTTTATACCCCATTTTGATGGATTGTAATAATTGAGAAATAGTTTGGATGAGAAGAATTGTCTGTCAACAGATTACCTTTCACTGACAGGATGCCACAACTGAACAATAATCTAACAGCTAAACCTGCCCTGTTGTTATCTAAACAATGTACATGAAAAACATCGTTCATGCCAAGGCTCATTTTTCATAGCATTAAAACAAGCAAAAAAATCTCCTAAAAACACACATTCATGCAAGTTTTCTGCACATATCTATTTTATTATCTTCTATTCATTAAACATGAAACTCACAAACAGTGACTAATGCTAATGGTTATTGTTGTTATTATTGTTGTTATTATTGTTGTTATTATTATTATGATGTCTGCAATAGATTTCTAACCATGTTTACAAACTATCTTAGCAAATTCAATGAAGCATATAGAATGCTAATTAAAACTGGGGAACAATGCAGCTTCATGACAGAGGAATAATTATCACTGGTATAAAACTGACCGCACCTGAAGTGCAGTGTACCCTTATCTACCTTAGCATAGTACTCTTGCATTTTTAATTGTAAGGATAGGAAGTTGGAGGAATGGCTAGAAGAAAAACCCAATATACCCATTTTGCAGTAGTACTATAAATATACATTGTTCTATTCAATGTTCACCAGCGCAGATTGTTTCCAAGTAAAAAATAATTATGCCACAAATGAAGAAAATGTTATAAAGAATGCAAGCTCATTTGCATGCACCGAGATTGAGATATTCACTTACTTCTTCGTTAAATAACTTGCTAGTTTCTTTTTTAATAGGATCTATTAGCTGCACCTGTCCTGCAGAGAAGCCCACTAGAAGAGAAACACTTTCTGCTGTGGCTGTTAAATGATTGAAGTCATGACATGTAGGTTGCGTTCCTTTGTATATTCTTTTATCTATTGGTTTACTCAAATCAGCAGCCTGCAAGAAAGATTGAAATTGGGATTAGCAACGGTTAATTCAGTTTAAAATGCTAGCTCTTGGCTCTTTGCTAAGAGAAAAAGCAAATCAACTATTTATAGTCACCAAGGCAGATTTAAAAAGCAGAACTTTTTAAGAACCAGCCTTGTCCTTATTCAATCATGTATTAAGGATTTGCCAAATGTTTGTATAATTAGGGATTACTGTTTTCTTAACTCTCAACAGGGAGTTGATGTATTTCTGCCACAAACTGTTGTTAATAGTCATGTTTTATAATTAAAGTTCATATCTGCATTTTGCAGATGAAACACACATTCATAAAAAATATGTACACAGATTATGCATATAAAGTACAAGAGGTAACTCTACTCTATAATATTTTTCACTATAAATACAAGCAATGAACTTTTTACCACACCTTTATAAGCATTTGTTACTGAATCTAGATGACAAATGCAGTTCCTGGCAGATGGTGAAATTTGGTTAACCAATTAAAGCAAATATTTCAAGAACTAATTAAATCTCTGTATTGAGTAGGGCATCTTCTCACTACGGCAGATGAATTGGAACAGATTATCAATTATTACGGTGCATAAAAATGTTTTGTATATAGGCAATGCAACCCTCAGTATCCACTATAAACCTACTAAATTTCATACTCTTGTAACTATTTTATTTTTAAACCACCACATGAAATTGTGACTATTGTAATTGTAAGCTGGGTGACAAGCTCCCGAATTGCAATTACACGACCATGGGGACACTGGAACAACTACATCTCTGAGGACTCCTCATTCAATCCCATGGTAACTTCAAAGACTGGACACTAAATGAGAACTACCTGTATATACTTCAATGTTGCTTCAAGTACTAATAGTATTGCAAATTCTTTTTGAAATCTGAGGATCAGATAATTCCCCTGCCTCTCTCTCATTACAGTACATATCCAACCCAACATCTGAAATACACACACAAATTCCCTGCTCATTCCCTATGAGTGATATGTGTTTTCCTCAATCTCGGGTCCTCTACCAGAGGTCTCAAAGTTTGAGGATCCTCTGTAGTCTTTTAGCTGTTCCCCAGCACTGCACTCTTCTGGACAGAGACCTCTGACACCATTCCTGGATTCTGTTGGAACCACTCTCCCAGCTTAGTAGTCACAACCCCAAATGTTCCTACCACCACTGGGACCACTTTTGAACTTTACTCTCCACATCAATTCCTCCTTCAGGCCTTGGTCCTTCTCCAACTCTATTCTCCTCCTTCCTAAAGTTGTTGTCACTTGGCACTGTTACACCACCATTGCGGTCTTCTGATATTTGTCTATTACCTCAATGTCTGGTTGACTGGCTAATCTCTGCCTGTCTGGATCTCGCAGTCCTAGAGAATGCTCTATTATTCACTGTAACTTTCTGGGGAACCTCTCATCTGGACTTGGGTTTGCCAATAATCATCTGACAGCCCTTTTTAAGGTGACCTGGCCCTTGTGGGGAAAGATAGGGCTCAGCACCATCATCGTACTGCTGCGAAGAATATTATATCTAATTGGCAAAAACTGAGATCTTGTCAGGTTTGGATTGAGATGCCTGCTGCATGGACTTATGGGGTTATCTGTAGTAAGTTTGACTCTGTGATTCCTAAGGAAGTTGACAGGGTTTTCATATCATTTTATCCTGATCAGCTGCTTTTATCTACATGTCTATCTTTGATGGTTAAAGCCATACAGGAGGTAAATGATGGCTTGGTCCATGTGCTGGTGTTGGCTTTCTTCAGTGAAGAGGCATTCCCTTTGTCCTTGAATGAGGCTGTAATGTACTCTCTCTTCAAGAAGCTTTTACAACAGTGGTCCCCAACCTTTTTTGTACCAGGGACCAGTTTCAAGCAGAAACACTTTTTCAAGGACCGGCGGAGGGAGGGGGGGAGATTCTATTTTCCATTCCCAAAACTTTATGTTTACCCTACAACTAGCATTAAAGACACCTGACTGCAGTCTCTCTAGTTCTAGGTCTTGCCCAGCTGTGTAGCTACAAAATTTCATGCAGATGTTTCTCTTATCTCTGTTTGGTGAAAACAGGAATTGAATGAGGAGCATTTAGTCAGTGTGTTTTCCCTAGGAAGCTCCTGTAGTCCTTGTTTAGGGATCAGAGCTACGATGGACCTCTAACATCCAGCCCAGGAAGAAACTGCTTCAAAGAAGCCGGGGGGGGGGTTTCCTGTCGCCGCACCTCCTCCGAAGCGCCCGTTCACCCCCACCCCGCCCGCCC